GAGTGCAGTGGCCGCTCCCGGACATCGCAGCCTCGACCTGCTGGGCTCCAGCGATCCTTCCGCCTCAGCTTTCCGAGTAGCTGGAATTACAGGCATGCGCTACCATGCCCGGCTGATTTTTTGATTTTTATTGTAGAGATGAGGTCTCGCTGCCCAGGCGGGTCTCGAACCCGCGGGCTCAGCAATCCACTCGCCTCAGCCTCCCAAAGGCGCGGGATTACAAGCTGAGCCACCGAGCCCAGCTCTACCACTGTGTTTTTCATGTCTCCTCAAAGTCATGAAGGATGGCCTTTCAGACAGCAGAGAATTCATTGGACTGATAATGAACAAAACAGTAGGTTGGAAAAAAAGGAATGTATTCTCTCTTTTTTTTTTTGAGTTGGAGTGTCAATCTGCCACCCAGGCTGGCATGCAGTGGCACACTCACAGCCACCGCAGCCTTGACTTGCTGGGCTCAGGCGATCCTTCTGCCTCAGTCTTCCAAGTAGCTGGAATTACAGGCACACGTCACCATGCCTGGCTAATTTTAAAATAATTTTTTGTAAAGATAAGGTCTTACCAAGGCTGGTCTCGAACCCATGGGCTTTGGCAGTCCTCTCACCTCGGCCTCTCAAAGTGCTGTGATTACAGGCTTATGCCATCGTGCTCGGCCAGAATGCGTTTTTTTTTTTTTTTTTTTGAGTCGGAGTCTCACTCTGTTGCCCAGACTGGAGTGCAGTGGCCACTCCCGGTCACCGCAGCCTCGACCTACTGGGCTTTGGCGATCCTTCTGCCTTAGCCTTCCAAGTAGCTGGAACTACAGGTGCACGCTACCACGCCTGGCTAATTTTTGATTTATTGTAGAGATGAGGTCTCACCAAGTTGCCCAGGCAGGTCTCGAACCCGCGGGCTCAGACAATCCACTCATCTCAGCCTCCCAAAGCGCTGGGATTATAGGCTGAGCCACCGAGCCCGGTTTAGAATGTGTTCTCAATGAAGGCAACATCTTTGTCTAATTCACCACTCTATTCTTTGTACAAAGAAGAGTGCCTGATAACATCATAGGTGGTCTATTGTGTGTTCAGTTACTGAAAGAAATCAGTGAAATAAGTGAAATGATGGACTTAGTAGAGAAATAACTTTCTATTTTGGGACAGGGCTCTGTCACCCAGGATGGAGTGCAGTAGCATGATCATGGCTTACTGTAGCCTCAACCTCCCGAGCTCAAGTGATCCTCTTGCCTCAATCTCCTGAATACCTTCCATCTCAGCCTTCCAAGTAGCTGGAACCACAGGTGCACGCTACCATACCCGGCTAATTTTTTGACTTATTGTAGAGATGAGGGCTCACCAAGTGGCCTGGGCTAGTCTCGTACCCCTGGGCTCTGGCAGTCCTCTCACCTCAGCCTGCCAAAGTGCTGGGATTACAGGCTGAGCCACTGCGGCCAGTCTACCTACGTTTTAAAAAACAATGTCCCATTAAACAAATTCCCACTAAGGAAAAAAAAAATCATTTTCAGTGCAATACAAGACAGGTACCATGGGTAGAATACCAATAAAAGCTGAACCGAGAGCTAGGAGGGTGAAATTATTGAAAAAGCAAGGGAAATTTTCATAATAATTACTATTTTTATTTTTTTATTTTAAATTTTGAGTTGGACTCTTACTCTGTCACTCCTGCTGGAGTACAGTGGCATGCTCACAGCCACCACAGCCTTGACCTGCTGGACTCAGGTGATCCTTCCGCCTCAGCCTTCCAAGAATAGTTACTGGTTGGGCATGGTGGCTCAAGCCTGTAATCCCAGCACTTTGGGGGTTTGAGGTGAGATGATTGCCTGAAGCCACAGGTTCAAGACCAGTCTGGGCAACTTGGTAAGCCCTCATCTCTACAATAAATAAAAAAATTATCCGGGTGTGGTGGCGTGTGCCAGTAGTTCCAGCTACTTGGAAGGCTGAGGCGGAAGGATCTCCTGAGTCCAG